TTCTAGTTGTCTGGCCCGGCGTTTATCACGACTGTAAGAATAATGGATCAGTAGGTACATATCAGCATTATGGGAGGCCATGGCCTCATCAGGTAGATGAGACGTTGCAGGTGTACATTAGATGGGGGAGAACGGGCCCATAGCCTGCAACTGGGCCGCAGTTGGACACCTGCAATTATATACAGCACAAATACAAGTATGTGACACAAATCATATCAACCTCCTTTCATCGTCAGTGAACTGTGTCAGTATTTCGGCACACGTAGGCAGGGAAGCTTCGGTTTTCGGTCAAATTAATGCGTCAAAACTGCGATTGACGGCCTGGGGAAGGGCCAAGCTACTCAATCAGAAGTTGAAAGTGAATATCAGTTGACCTGACTCGAGAAGTTTCTGGTCGTGATGACGGCGATGCCTCATTCTTTCCCTGATGGGATGTCATCTAAAGAAGCATCTTTCTGGATTCATCAGTAGAAGGAGGTTATCCTCCTCGTCCATCTTCCCTGATCACCTTTCTCTACAACTGCCCAGATACCGCTCTCTCTCTCTCTCTCTCTCTCTCTCTCTCTCTCTCTCTCTCTCTCTCTCTCTCTCTCTCTCTCTCTCTGTCCTTTTTTTTTTTTTTTTTTTCATCTCCCTCCATCTTCAAAGTCTTGAAGGGGAAGGAGTTGTCTCTCGCGCACCTTCCTCCCACAAGTCCATCCCACAACAACAAGAAAATCTCTGATAGATGCCTTTGTTGACCGGATCCGACCTCGCTTAACCACCACCCTCACTTTCACCAGATCAGACTTCACCTCAACTCTGGGAGGAGCTGATATTGAAAACTTTTCTTGCTTAAGGGTCGTCGCTCTTCCCTTTCGAAGTCGATCAAGACCGCCCTAGCCTCTCACCTTTCACCTTTTCCTCGCCCACCCACCACCACCCACAAGACCTCTCTCTCCCTCTCCCACACAAGACCTTTCTCTCCCTCTCTCTTCCACACAACAAAAATCCTTTCACTTCCACACCTTTCACAAATCCCTTCCACAAACAACTCTTCCAGGATCCAGGCACCTCAAACCTGAATCCCTTCACTTTCATCCTTCACTCAAAGACCATCACCATCTTCCCTTTCTGCGCATCTCGCGATCCCCTCTGTTCACCCATCACCTTGTCAACAATGGTGGTCTTCGACATCTCGCCTAAGGGCCAGGGAGGCACCCTGAAGACCCTTCTTCTCGGTACCATCACTCTCTGTGGTGCCGTCGCTGGTGCTGGTGCGAACACTGGCAACACTCAGCGCGGTGGCGTCATGTCTGTCAATGACTTCACCAACGGCGAGCTCGACCTCAATGAGTTCATCGCCGGCCAGGTCATGGCTGGCAACCGCAAGGTTCCTGCTGAGTTCGCTGGTGTTGACCTCAATCTCACTCACCACATCGAGCCTGCCAACAACAAGAGTGTCGACAAGGTTGACTGGAACAACCCTCCCATGTGGGCTATTCGTCCTGAGGATCGTGCTGCCTTCCTTGCTGGTGGCCCTTCTGCCCTTTCTCTTCCGAAGCGTCCTAACCATGAGGGTGACATCACTCCCCCCTGCGAGGACAATCAGTCTCACAAGCTTTACTACACTTACTACGAGATCGACTGCCCCGCCAAGCTTCACACTGATGGCAAGCGCATCGCCACCAGCTCCTCCGGCACTTGCGAGAAGTGGAATGAGTTTAACGACCATCTCGAGTGTGCTAGCTTCTGCCAGGCCGAAACCACCTTCGAGTGGGCTGAGGAGAGACCTTTCCCTCACTCTGACTGCCACTACCCCATCGCCTGCGGCATCACCGAGAGCGACTCGACCTCCTACGGCTGGGGTATCAGTCTCAAGCCCAAGCTGGCCTGGATGAAGGCGCTCAAGTTCGGCATCTCCGGCGGCTACGACCAGAGCCAGTCCACGTCCACCGGTCGTAAGTTTGACATCGAGCTGAATGAGGAGAAGAAGTGCGGCTACTTCACCTGGGTCCCCATCAAGAAGACGGTCTGGTAAGTGTTCAAACTCCCCATTGGAGATTCTCCCAGCGGTGTGCTAACATTTCGGTTCAGTGGTGTCTTGTCCGAGTCCAAGCCCGGCCTCAAGACCAAGTGGGTTATGACTGATGACGGCTACCTCGAGGTCGGCTACTGCGACGTTTCCGAGGGCCCTGACACCGAGGAGGATCCCGAGGCTGTCACCGACGGCAACTACTGCACCAGCATGCCCTGGTACATCCAGACCCCCTCCAAGAAGATGGTCCCCGACGGCACCGTCCTCTTCGTCTACACGGACTGCAACGACCGCTCCCCCCTCCCCATGGAGCAGCAGGACCCAATCTACGCCAAGTCCGGCGTCGCCCTGCACAGCCTGACCGTCCGCGCTCTGCACGACTCTTGGATCAAGAACTTCTGCCGCTTCGAGAAGAACATCCCCTGGTTCGACCCCGCGACCGGCAAGACGGACAAGTACAAGACGCTCTACCTGCTCGGCACCGGCTTCTCCGACAACCAGATCGGCGGCGAGGACGGCAAGGGCCTCATCGAGAAGATCACCGCCTGCGCCAAGGGTGATATCAAGGAGGTCGCCTTTGGCTGGATCGACTTCGGCCACCCCGACGACGACAACGAGCTCCGCGGCGCCTACTGGTCCCTCCGCGCCCGCATGCCCAAGACCATGGACGGCGGCTGCGTCGGCGACGTCCTCATGGACATTGGCGGCACCACTGTCGACCGCTGCGGTGACGGCAGCTAGACGTCTCGCCTTGGATGTCTACTCAAGCCTTCCTTTGGGAACGCAATCAAAATTGGTGGTATGGAATGGATGAATCATGGATCATGGAAGCACTCTTCTCGGAGGTCTTTTGGAGTTTTGGCAACAATCAGGTAGCTAGACAAACTCTGCGATAGACACGAGAGATGTGGAATCAGACTAAAAGTTCGACAAATCTTGTACTTGTGCCAGTGCCTTGTGATACGTGACATGCCTTCTCCTACCCGTCTCGCCAACCAGCCTTTGTCGTCGGCACTGTCCGTCGTACTTCTGTCGTTACGGTCAAATTTCCTGTGTGAAATAAAAGGAAGCCTTGATTCATCAGCGCTCCCAGAACACCCGCGCCGATTCCACGAGAAGTCCGCGCCGCCTCCTCACGCCTCTGAGGCGCAGCGGGAATTCCCCTCTGCCCAGCCGGGCCAGTCCGCTCCCACGGAATAGACCAAAACTTAATCTAGACGACGCCCAGGATGAGCCGCAGACACCCAGCCCAACAAAATACCGCATTCATCGGGGCATTTCCGAACAAGAGAACGAACGCCCCATCAAGATCACCCCAGACGAACCGCGTGTTCGGTTGCCTCGGGTTCGCACCTCAATCCCATCACGAACCCGACCTAAAAGCTTCTCCTCACCCCTTGGTTGCCCTCGGCATGGAACCGTCGCCGGCGAAACCGCAAAATAGCACCTGCGTCGGCAAACGACAAGAAGCTTGGGGCCCGAAAACAGCGAGCTGGCAGCTTTCTGGCTTGTGATCAGGCACCGAAGCTATGGCTCCCCCTCCCTGCCCGCGCGTAAGGCAGGCACACGGACGGGGTTCGGCGGGCGCTGTTTGCCAATGAAGCAAATCATCTGGAGACGTAGACCATCAGAGTTCGGGCCAGGGCCAACTTTGGACGTCGCATCTGTGTCGATGATTGGTGCGTATGGCGTAGAGATGGGCTCTACCAGATTGGGAGGTCGTACTGCGCAGGGTGGACTAACCTCGTCTCATCTCTTTTGCGCAAAGTTAAGATAGATTGCGAGTCCCTGTCGTGGATGCGAAACCGAGATGGGGACAACATAAATAAGCTACGATCCCGCCAACGACTTATGCGGCCTTCCGAACCAAGCTGCCTTGTCTGTAGCTTCAATTGCCAGAAGGAGTCAAAGCTGACCAGACCAAATATAATGGCCCTCGACACCCTCCCGGTTCTCGTGGTAATCGGCGGCGGCGGCATCGGCCTCGCAACCGCCCTCCGTCTCGGGCCCGGCCACCACATCCTCCTTGCCTCGCGCTCCGCCTCCACCCTCGCCAGCGCCTCCGAGGCCCTCAAACAGGCCGGCCACAAGTTCACCACGCAGCAGGTCGACGTGACCTCTTACGCCTCCGTCCGCGCGGTCGCCAAGGCCGCGGCGTCCCTCGGCGGCGCCATCGCCGCCGTCGTGCTGACCTCCGCCATCTCGCCGTCCATGGGCGACGCCGCCAAGATCTACGAGGTCGACGTGCTCGGCACGGCGAACGTGATCGCCGCCTTTGGCGCGGAGGTCGAGATGCCAAGGGGCAGTAGCCTAGTCTGCGTGGGGAGCATGGCGCAGTACATGGGCCCGCCGATGTCTAACGCGCTGGAGCGGCATCTCGCGCTGGCGCCGCTGGGGGAGCTGTTGAAGAATGACGAGATGTGGGAGATGGGACGGGCGCACGAGGGGGCTGCGTACTGTATTGCGAAGAAGGCGAACGTGTTGCGGGTTGCGGCGGCGGCGGCGAGTAAGGAGTACGCGGGGAGGGGGTCGCGGGTGAACTGTGTGAGCCCGGGGTGTACGGAGACGAAGATGTTGAGGGAGGAGATGGCGAGCGGGAGTGGGGAGGGGATTCGGGCGATGATTGAGGGGTTGCCGGTGCCGAGGGCGGGGACGGCGGAGGAGATGGCGGAGGCGGTTGCGTTTGTTGTTGGTTGTGGGTATATCAATGGTGTTGATATCCTCATTGATGGCGGGTGTATGGCGGCGCAGAGATGGGGGTCGTTGGTTGTTGGTGGTGAGAGGGAGACTTAGAAGGGATTGGTGTTACATGAAACAGATCTTAAGAGACACAAAGGGCTTGTAGAAATGGTCAGTTTTGCTTGGTTTAATGCACGAAGCGGTTGAAGTGTCCTTCAAAGAGAGATTCTCTCGCCTTGCTAGAACTGAACACAGCCAACTGACCGTCTCTCTCCTTGAACATCCATGCTTAGACAAAGAAACCCTACTTCTCTGTCTGCAGACTTACGGTCTTGACCCCTGCGTTCGCGTCGTCCGGCTCGCCAGCCAGCTCCTCCTTGGTAGCCTCCTTCTGCTGCTTCTTCTCTTCCCACTTGAATCCGAAATGGATTCCGATGAAGATCACCACAGCCACAAGTGCAAACGCGAGATACAACTTTGATCCAATGCGCCAATTGGGAGCCTCCGAAGCCGGGAAGGCGGCAATGGGGATGAAGGCGCTCATGATGTAAGCAAGGACGGTGCCGCTGGCGAACAGGACGGTGCGGACCTCAGGCTCATGCTGGAGATGTGCTGAGCCCCAGGAGCAGAGGAGCATGGTGGAAACACTATGCAACATGTCAGGTTATGGAAATTAATGAGAATAGGGATGGTCTTGACGTACGCTCCGATGTAGTTCATGTACCAGCCGGCCATGTAAGCCCCTTCGTTCTTTGGCCGGACGATGAGGATCACCTGAGAGGCAATGTTGATGGCCTACGTTCCGTCAGCTTTCAAGTCATCTCCTCGTATCAGGAAGGGACGATTTACGGAGTGAAGTAGCAAGAATGGTAGGTGGACGCCAAAGTAGCCGCTGAAGCCACTGAAGAGGAGCTCCGAGATGAGCTGCAGACCTTGGCCTACTATCGGTAGATAATTGAGCATAGCCACAGAGCTACGTAACTTGTCAGCCCGGACTTAAAGGGCGAATGGGATGATTCTGAACACACTATTTGGCAGTTCCATCCGAGTTCTTCAGGGACTTGAGCCACAGGTTGAAGTAGCTGGCGGGCGTGAAGTTGCCACCGACAGGCCATGCGACTAAGATAGATGTCAGAAATGCACTCGAGAACGTCGATTTACCTATGTAAAAGATCATGGGTCGGCACAATACGTACTCGCAATAGCCCACAGCTGCCAGAATGTGAAGCATCGGAGGAATGACTTCACAGTGATACCAATTTGCGGCTTACGTCCAACCCGGCGGCCGCGCGCGACTGCTATCTCAATATGACGGTCCGTCATGTAGAATTTTGAAAGCGGATTGGGACGTTCGGGCTGCGATTGAGTTAGCCATAGTGCCGAAAAGATTGCGTTGGAGAGACCGACGTAGCCGGGGAGGATGAAGAAGGCTGCGAGCGCTACGACGATGGTACAAGCACCCTGTGATGTTGGTCAGCCTCAAGAACTAGTAATCGTGGCACTATGCATCTCTCACGTTGATGATGAAAGCCCACCGCCAGCCTGACCTCCCAGCAACGCCCTCAAAGTTGGTAGACAGCGCGCCCTGCATCGCACCGGACAGCATGGCGCCCGCGGGCTGGGCAATGTTGTAGAGACTCATGCGCAGAGCTACTTCGTGGGGCATGTACCACTGGCTGATGAGTGTGAAGTATCCTGGCCAGGCGGTCCCTTCAAATAGGCCGATGAGGAAGCGGAGGCCACAAACCTGGCAGGCGTCAGTGGTCTGCCCGGCTAGGTGATTTAGGAGGCGGCATTACCTGTTTGGAACTCGTGACCACCGACAAGCAGCATGTTAGAACGCCCCAAATAAGCTACTTTTAGTTAATACTGGCCCTTGAGAGAGAGAACAGCAATTCAAACCTCGCAAGCTGGAAGCCACTTTGATGGGCCAAAGTGGGAGATGATGATGCATGAAGGGTAAAGCATGATCATGTATCCGATACTAAGGAAAATCATCAGTTCTCTGGGCTCCAATACAGTGGCTGGGAGTCAAACTCACTTGAAAAATGTGGTAAAGTAATTCAACTCATTGCCAAACAGGCTGAGATCCTCCTTCATGCCAGACACGTATGCATTGCTCTAAGTTGCGTGTTAGCTGTCTAGCATCATGGCACATTGGTTTCGAGCTTACAATGTTTGTTTGGTCGATGTACTTGAACATGTAGCCCAGGAATCCTATGGTGAGGAAGAACAGGTCAAGGCGCCCTATTGATGTCAGTCAACCCGTGCGTGGGCCGATGTGCAGAAAGGACCCGTCTTACAAACAAAAGCCCGTTCCTCCTTGGGGTCGATGTAGTCTTTTGGCTCGCTCTCTACAGGCGTGATGCCGCCATCAGACCCTGAAGATTGGCCGATGGCTGTCGCATCCCCGGCACCAACATCGTTGGCGGCGACTTGTATGTTCAAATTATCTGGAACGCCCATCTTCACTGTTGGTGGATTAGGATGTTTGACGACCTGCAAGACATGCACTTTCCCACGTGGCACAGATGGAAAATGAGAAGGGTGGTGATCTTTATCATATACAACATCTCTCGCCACCATCTTTGAACTGCTTCCCTGGCGGCGGACGTCACCCGAAAATCCTCCAAGATGGTATCAAAATGCAAGACGAAGACGTGCTTGGCGATAAGTTCCGCGGAGGTGGAACCATTCCTTCGCCCGCCGGCTCACGGCTGTGGTGGCTCCTACTCAATAACTATGGAAGCTCCCGTGCCGTGCTTCCGTTCGTCGGGAACTGTCCGCAGTTGGTTGCTGAACCGGGCTAGACATCGCGGGCTGGCTGCCGCGGTTTTTGGCAATTGACGTTGCGACATTGGCTGGGGAGAAGACGCAATCCACCCGACATGAACGAGCAGCCCCCACACTACGCGCCAGCAGCTGGAATATTGCGCAACTCCATGACTCTGCGTTTGTCGGGTCTGGTCCGACGGCTTTCTCTTTCTTAAAGAGGCTGGCTGGCCGACGTTCATTCCAGAGCTCGTCCACATGTTACGGTGTTTGCATCAACCAGAATCACTACCAGAAACACTTTCAATTATTTCCTCAACTAGCATGGTGCAGAGTGATGGTCCAGGCCGATGGTTTTGAACATTCTATTATTTTGCATCTACAAGCTATCACTTCGTTTACTTGCTGTTCGAACGCCTACCACAGGAGGCTCACAGACGACCTAAAAGCTGACTCCGGTTGGTTACTTTTCATGCCTGGTCCCTAGAAATTGTGCTTGTGGACATGCTCAATAAAGAGGTCCTTTCGGCAATCACAACAAACTACGACAACAGCAAAGCAGCTTTGTCGCCATCTGTAACAGCAAATGCTCGTGAAGTTGCGGTCCGCTTATAAACGGGTAGAAGATTCTCCTGGCGATGTTTGAATCAAGAGGTCATTCGCGTGGTAAGTTGAAGGTAAATATGTGACAGATTCAGTCATTTGATGTTTCGTTATGAGTGAACAGCAGAAGCATCAGAAGTCTTTGATAATGGAAGGTAGAGTGCCTGGTCGTTTTGACTACACATCGAGGTAAAAGATGACATATTCGCCATCCATGGATCTATATTCTGTTGGTGAGTGCAAGTTCGAAAACCAGCCAGCCTTCTGAAGCTGCTTCGGTTCAGGTTTCATCTTACACTAAGTGGGAGGGAAAGACCATAAAAGAATTACGAAGAAGTTCCATGCTGCATTGTCTCTGTTCTTTTCTCGCTTATTACAAAACTTGGTCCTCAAAAAAACGCTTTACCGCTGTTGTCCAGTCTCGCCCAAACTCACAATGTGTCCATAGTACCCATTGTCGTCTCAAAGAGATGACTGCACTGCTTAACAAAGTCTCCTGTTGCCAGCCTCCCAAACAAGTACCATTCAAATCATGTGACGCATCTCAACTCATTATCGTACAATATGCATATGCGACCTGATTTTCCTGTACCGCCGAGCTGTCCAGAACAGGGCGGCAAGAGCCATGAACTCGAGAAGAGGTATGAGAGGGAATCCGATCCACCGCAGCTGTGAAAACGATCCGTCCCAAGAATTTCCTATCCTTACTCCAAGATTTGCAAGTGGCTGGCTGCTTTGGGATGGCTGCAGGTACATGAAGTGGTCATGATCACCTATGCAGTCTCCAACTGTAATTGGCTTGAAGCCCTTGTGGACAAAGCTCTGCACTAGGTCACCCACGGTGAGAGCAGTCTGCTCAGTGTCGTGCATCCTAATCAGAAAAGAGTCTTTTTCTGGATCCGCAGACTCCAAGTCACTGAGGAGAGATGTAGAGTTCAGATCTCGCCCAGGGTCGTCGTGTGGATCTTCCGAGTTGATGCCAGGGAATACAAGTCGTTGGCCGTCGAGAGTCAACTTTTCGACGCAGCCGTTTTGCATAGTACATTCTGGAGGCGCCCTCACGTACATAGGATGAAGTGCGCTTGAGGAAGTCGATGAAACGAAGATTCTGCCTATCCTTTCGCGGGCTTCGGCCAGGGCATTTTTGGTCCCGTCGTAATTCGGAGAGCCACCATCACATGACTTGGTTGTAAGTCCTATGAGATGCCCGTCCTCAACCGTTCTTCTCACCAATGACTCCCAGTAGCCGGAATGGTTTTCTTCTGTGAGCCATGACGAGGTATCAAGAAAGAACGTCGCGGTTGCATTGACCTGGGCGAACTCATGCAAGATGTAGTCTGTGTAGAAAGACGGCCCATCATCAAATGTGAAAGCAACAGTTCCTGGTATCTGGTAAGGGGTCAGCTACGAGTCACGCCCGGAACGACTGATCAACTGACTCTGCATTTGCGAATGACCTGCCCGTGTTTTGACACGAATGGGCGCTGTGTATCTCGCTTCGTCGTAGGAGACATTGTAGTTTCTTTGACGGCGGAGCACACAATGACTTCCAATTCGGATCCGAAAGGTTTTCAGACAAGGATGGTGCACTTAATGTACTGAAGGATGGAATAGACCCAACGTACACGTGTAAACTCTAGTTTTAAACGCTATTGCAGCAGTGCGGCACCATAGTATCCGCGCGAGTACGACCAATTCGGCATCCCATCGCTTAAAACAAGATTCTTGCTTGGCAGTTCGTCCGGAAGTTTAATAGATAGCGCGTCTATCACGTTGTTTGTCAAGAGTCTCATTGGCTCAAACCAATCAAGCTTACTGGATCCCGTCCCGGGGTGTCGATGTAACCCCCTCACTTCGGTGGCTGGACCTGGTCTTATTGAAGTCCAGAACTTGCCATGTTCAGCTGGACTCCTCACCGATAATTGCTTGGCTGTAACGAAAACGAGAATCCATGGAGGGATGTGTTTACAATAGATTTACAAATCATATGTTCATGATTATCGCGATAACAGAGATTTGATAAATGCAAGTGCTCCTTTATTTAGCACAGGCGTGCGCGTTAACCCAGCCATTCACATGGCAGCAACGTGCTTCTTACAGCGGTGGCAAGGGACACGAATCAGTTGCGGCAGGGTTCATTGCAGACTACGGAAACTTTCTGTGGCGAAGATTGCTGGCGCGATTGGCTCAGAGATAAAAAACGCGGGAGGGGCTGACGAGGATGGCGATAGTAGCATCTGTAACCGCCGCAACCCTAATAAGGATGGGTCCGGCAACGATGCACGGGATAAATCTACTACATTCATGCTGACTACCGAGGGTGACTCCTGAAACAATGATACAAGGCTGGTTCTCAAATCACTGTAGACTTTTACGAGGTCTAAATCATATTGGATGAACCAAGCTGTCTGTCTTCTTCCAGTTCTAAGCTCCCTCTATCTAAATATCATCTTGTCAGCCAACTTTGGCTTCTGAGTGTAAACAGTCCAAACACCGATGCCCAGCTCACAAAGAAGAAATTGGCAACCGTAGAAAAGTAAAAGTACTGCATCTTCTTCCTCAACCGCGGATATGAACTGTCTGATTGATCCGATGTCGGTTGTTGAAGTCCACTTTGAGGCATCGAGTCATCTTCGTTTCTGCTGAGCGCATCGGCCAATAGAAGAGGGCTGGACCAAGTCGCAAAGACAACGAGACAACAAACATTCATGGTCGTGACCCACGGAGAGCGGAAGGCCCCCCACACCCAAGAAAATGCCGCTTCCACGCAAGACAGGGTCGCGCAAGTTGCGCAGATGATCGTCAGCATCGGTGCAAAGTCCGGTTGTCGTGCATTTGCCACCCGCTTGCCGTGTTGCTTCTCCAAGTCGAGCGATGCGCCGGACTGACTCAGAGAAAGGAGGCCCAGCCGATTCAGAACGAGCCTCTTGGCGTCGGTGAAGGCAAGCTTGACCAGGCCAAGGATCCAGTAGGTGTAGTTGCTTCTTTCCCACCGGACGTACATCAGAAATGCCTTGCGTAAGGTCTCAGGCGCGACTGTGTAGACAACCGCATTGCTCTGATACCTGAGTCGCCAGCCGTCACTCAAAAGATTCATCGTGAGCTGTACATCCTCTCCGTGCCGCAAAGGCTTTCCGAGGAATTTAGCATCCACCAGATCTTGAGCATGTGGCTGAGAAGCTTCTCTTCGAACAGCGGAAATGGCACCTGGTAGAATGGTGACAAAGCCATATTTTGACTGTGCCGCCCGCGGGATGTTGCCGTTCTGCTCAAAAAGACAGTCCAGCGTCCGCGGGATGAAGCTCTTCCAGCCTTCAGAGTGGACGTTGAAGACGGAGAGATGGCCTGCGACTCCTCCAATATCGCTGTCGAGTACAAGGGGACTGACTAGATTTCGAAGTGCTTGCTTCTCGAGGATGGTGTCAGAGTCGAGAGTCACGATGACTTCGTTAGTCGCAGCTGTGAAGGCTGTAGCCATAGCCTGTCGCTTCCCACGGTTGATCTCATGTTGTATAGTGGTGCATCTCAGCAGTGACTCCGAGCGAAGAGCTTCTTGCGCGGCGTATTGAATGTGAGACCAAGTATCGTCTGATGAGCCGTCATCGACAACGATGATGTGAATCTTTTCCTTCGGGTAGTCCGAAGAAACAACAGAGGAGATTGAGTTTTTGACGAACTCAGACTCATTGTATGCTGGAATGATGACATTGATTGTAGGAAGACGGTGGTTATCTTTGATGCCCGGTATCGGCTCGTATTCAGTCCACCTGGTGATGATGAGAAGGAAGTTGAAGACGATGATGCATGAGCTGAATTGAAAGAAGGCCTCGTAAAAGCCAAACGATGTTCTTGTTTGACTAGCAATGTACTGGAACGTCAAGAAAGTGAGAACTGTCCCGAGAGCCACGAGACGGCCGACGGCTGTCCGAAAGCTGTGGCCTGACATCGTGATCTTGGGTCTCTGGTAGAGGAGTCGCGCGGTTCGTGATCATCCCAAGTACTGCAACACCATCTTTATCTCCATTGGCTCCCCCTTCCCTTGCCTCTCCTATCACGCAGCGCACAGCAGAAGGCTATTAGAGTTCCAGACCCAGCCATTCGTGTATGCATCCGGAATTGATATTCTCGTGATGTGCCTCGGGTAATACCCAAACGAAACGCCACATCATGCGCTGGCGACTTACACCCCCAGAGCGGATGGAACGACATGAATCGCGACACTCTTCACCGCTGTTCTTCTTTCCTAAACTGGCGACCGGTCTGGCTAGGGTCTTGCGTTGTTTTCTCTTGGAATTTAGGGGACCTCGATATTCTAATGCGGGCAGGCCCGAATGTAACCTGCACACGTTAACTCTAAACTGAGGAACCCTGTTAGATACGCGATCTGCTGCCCGCCTCCTCTTTGTTCACATTTTCCGACCGGGCCTATTAAGAACGAGGGGTCTCACGAGTCGACAGAATAGTTCCGAGGCGGCAGTGTGATTTTCAGTCAGTTTCTTTCTCCCAACTTCAGTGAATCCACAATGTACCCAGCCCTTTCCGGCGTGATCACCGGGCTCGTCCTGCTCTCGGCAGGAGCAGAGGGTCACACGCTCATGCAACATCCTGTCCCGTATCCAAGCCAGCTTCAAGACAATGGTCCTGTTGCTAAGGACGGGTCTGACTGGCCATGCAAAGGGGAGGTCGATTATGATGGCTTTGGCGTTTCCAATATTTGGAAGCGAGGATCAACTGAGTATTTACAGTACGTCAATGAAGGGGACTGTCCAGAGCTTGAGAATATTCGACTAACCAGCGTGTCAACAAATTAGGGCCATGGGAGGCGCGTCACACGGAGGTGGCTCGTGCCAAATATCCGTCACAAGAGACCTCAAGCCGACAAGGAAAAGCGAGTGGAGGGTTATTCACTCTATCCACGGCGGCTGTCCTATCCGCAACTTGACGGACGTCAACTACGGAGACTCTCCCACTGTTGTTCTTCCCAGCGTCTACAACTTCACGGTTCCAACCTGGCTACCAGTCGGCCCTGCCGTGATGGCATGGACCTGGTACGGCAGATGGAGCGTCCCGGAGATGTTCATGAATTGCGCTCCGATCGTCGTTCTCGGGCACGATCAGGATGCAGACGTGCCGGAGGAGGATTTGGCAGCCAAGTTTGAACAAGCACCTCTCATCTTCGAGGCAAACAACGGAAACGGCTGCTTGACGCAAAACAAGGGCAGTTGCGTTAAGTTTCCGGAGCCGGGAGACTCGCTTGTTGTTAACGAGGAGTGCTCCTTGGATGAGTCTACTATGTTCACAGGAGAATGTGGCCCCGGTATCACTCTGGCCAACATGCGTACCTGGCCGAGGTGGCCGTCTCCTTTGGAGATGTTGCTTGGTTCCCTGTTAGTCGTTGCGGCGGTGGCCACCGTTCGTTTTGTGAGGCCGTGGATCAGCCAAAAGCCCGCTGTCTGGAGTAAATTAGGGGGAAGGTTTCGACGTCACAGACATGGCTACGACAAGTGTACACAAGTTTAGTTACGGTCTTTATTTCATAATGTCATCTCTTAAACAACCCATCTGCTTCGATTCGTCTGTCAAAGAAAGTTGAAAGCACAAAATAAACATTCCAGTCAACAGCACCACAAACGTATTAAACGACATGAATCAATAACAAGTTGATTCGCGCAAACGTTCGAATCCTCTTCAAGGCTTGTTGAAGATGAACACGAAACTAAAGATTTGCTTTCACATCCCCCTCGACAACCGGCTTGTCCTCTCTGAACCAGAGCTTCTCCATCTCAGAGCCCGAAGGCGGCGGCACAATCCCGTTAATCTTCCACAAGTCTCTACTTGATTCTTGAATAAAATACTCCCAATCCATACCCTTTCCACCGAGCCTCGGATTCAAAATTGAGTCCACTTTCTTGAGGAAGCGCTGATGGTTGATCTCATTCTCAAAGCGCCTCGCGACGTGGTAGATTGAGATCGTGGTGAACTTGGAGCGACGGGCACCTCCTAGGTACAGGTCGTGAGCGGGCATTTCGAAGAATTGCACGTTCACGTAGAATGCGGGGAGGCCGATTCTGGTGTAAATTTTGGTGATCTCTTGAGCCAGCGCCTCCTTTTCATCAGGAGAGAAGGCGTCTTTGCTGTGTGAGAAGACCCAGAGAGGCATTTTGACAGCTTGCAATATGTGATTATGCTGGCTGTTTGGTTGTTCGCTGACGGATGGTTCTTCTCACTTTCTGGTCGGAAGTGCTCGTGTACTTATACTTCGTCACAGTGTCGACACCGATGGACTATTCTGCCTGAGCAAGACTAAGTGTGTGTTGAGGGGGCCAAAGCTGCGATGTGAGAACGCGATCACTAATCGTGGTCGTGTTCGAGTAGAATCCCACTCCACGGTCACACGGCTCATGTGGGATCGGCCTGCATTGCGTTTTGAATACTAATCAATTCAGTCCATCAAAAGAGAGATCTACATGAAGTTGAATAATCGCCCCGCACCGCTCCGCTTTGACAAGTCCGGGGCGCAAATGAATTCTCAAGTTTTGGTCCTTGGGCAACCAAGAAGCCGAGGCCTTGGTTGACGGATACAATCACCAGGTTGGCTATGCCTCAAGATTACTCGTCTCCATCATATGCACTTCCGAGCATCGGGCCTCTTTCTCATCCGTGCTGCCGGCTGCTTGGCGAGGACATAAGCTTTGAGATGCTTCGTAACGTTCGTTCGGGATAACCGCCGTTGAGACAGTGGTTGTTTATGTTTTCGATGAAGTATGGTGAGGTTGACTTCAGTATCTTTATGTCGGGGGAACGGAATTCGTGGAAGTGGTAAGAGGTCGACAAGGCGCCTCGCACCCTTTTCACATACCGTCAGTCGAAAAGTTGTGAGCCCAGGCAGCAACCTGCTCAGGAAACTACAAACGAAAAGTTAGTTGTAAAAGGAGAAAAGCAAAGGACGCTCGCTCGGAAATGCCAAGTCAAGCAGATGACGCTCCTCGTCCGTCTCAGTCCCATCCCTTTCCCGATTCATCTGTTGCACCATGAGGAAGAATGCCGGGTGTCCCTTCCACGGTCTAGTGAGGTCCCAGGCCATCCCCACCAAAGAATCTATCTTCCATGGCCTGTCAAAAAACAACGACCCATGCCAAAGGTACATGTCGACCTCGTCAAGATTCTTAGATGCATCGTCCGGGTTCTGTTTCCGGAGAACAGGCGTCACTTTGATCATCTGGAACTCTTCCCGCTGGAACTCGTTGTCTACTCGACGTCGTTGAGATGGGTTTGCTGGTTGGAAGATGAAGCCGTCCATGGTCTGTTTCTCTTTTCTGATTGCGGCGAACCCCTCAAAGCCGTACATGGCGCGACAAGTGTATCCGGGCACCCTGACGGGGCGCAATTGGCCATCTTTCAAGTTTACTCCCAAGTCGAGGCGTAGAATATTCGAGAGGGTAGGCTTGAAGCAGAGGGGTCCGTAAATGAAAATTGGCTCCGGGGGCTCCGGTGGTTCCGGGGATTCCTGAGGTTTCGCGTGCGAGGACAAGAAAATGGGCAGGCAGCGCATTTCGCCCGCTTGCAGTGTCGAGTTTCGTTCTTGTGGTCGTTGTTGTTCTATTTTGCGACGTCAGAGCTAGGCTCGGATGGCTCCCAGGGGCATACGTCATGTAGGGCAGCACCTACATGTCGAATCGTGAGAGCCTTTTGGCAAATTTGGCGACGAACGTACTCATGGAGCGAGTAACGTGAGACTTGTCTAGTTTATGTCGTCGGAATTAAGGTCGCGTACAGCCTTGAATATTTCAATAAGGCTTTGCCAGCTCCAGTCTATCAAGGGACACGCCTGGCGCCTCTGTCGTCAGACCCACAAAGATGCTTCAATATTTCCCAGCAAATATTGCCTTTCAATGGGGAGCAACAGAGCAGCACCTCATCTTTTAGGAATAATACGAGTCTTGAGTATCAGGCGGAGACTCCGAGGAATTGTTCTTGCCTTCCTCAATCCAGCACTCGAAGAAGAGCGGTCCAGCTTCAACGGACCGAAGTGGCGTGGTGGCAGCCCCACCAACGTTGGCGCCCGGCACTGGGTTTGTCTTGGACGCTGGCTGAAGAGACGGCTCAGAGGGAATCCAGGGTTGGGGATGCTAGAAGAGTGTTAGCTGCCGGGTTTCCCGAATGCGGACCGTCTGCAACATACACCTATGGGCGCGGGTGCTTCATCTCGTAATTCGACGGCCAGTGTGAAAGTACATCCCTCGGGCAAAGGACCCTTCATCTCTCCCGCATACGAAATGCGTCTCAAAGCGCCTCTGTACGCCTCATTCACGTCCACCCAGTTCACGGATCCATCATCGTCCTCCTCTTCCCGTCGCTGGAATCTCTGGCCTGCGCCCAACTTCTCCTTGCCCTTGCCGGTAGCCCAAACAGGGAAGTTTGTGACGTCAAACACCCACCGTTCAACTACGGCCATGGAGTCGGGCGCATGAATCACGATGCAGACTTTGGTGACGGCGCCGAGGGCAAGTTGGTCCTGGATAGCTGCCAGGGCCGAGTTGATCCACTCGCAAAGAGCTGGATGCCGGGATTGTGGGACAGGTAGGTTGTGCGCTTTGGTCATAAGAAACGTCTGTTGCGGGTATAGCCGGCGGTAGTAGAGGATCGTGTGGATGGTGATGGTCAAGAATGCGGTGAACGAAGTGAGTAGGGTGTTTGCCTGCGGGCGCGGGATTGGGACCGGGGCCCCGGTGGCTGAGTCTGGAGGCCTAGAGCTGGACGACATATTGCCTGAACGGAGGTCGAACGAGAAATGGAAAATCTCATGCGAATGTCGTATTTGTCGTCTTAGCCACGATAGAACAATAGTCTCGACTACGGTGGGGCTGAACAGGAGATGCGATCGCGAAGCTTGGTGCCTGGAGACCAGGGAAGCGCGACGGGGACGTGATGCGAACCCAACGCCTTTTCACGTGCAGGTTTGCCACCTCTTTTAATGCATAATTACATATCCGAGCCGACTGTCGAATTAGGTGGGTAGACAAACAACCGGGTTCTCATGACATGTGTACGGATATTGAGTTACAGCGACAAGAACTTTCCTTGAGATTTTCTTCTGATCTTCTCATTTGCACTGTGTTGTGCAAACTATGATAAGATAGCTATGCCTAAAAAGAGTTCTTCAATATGCTCTAAACGAGGTGGATGCCGATAGGATGTAGGATGAGGGGTTACTCCACATATAGGGCTGAAGGCACCAGTCTGTGACGCCACCTGCCATCACCCGCATCCAGAGCTAAGCTCCCCCATCTCTGCAGGGTCGACACCAAAGTCCCATCATCCAGGCACCCAACGACACCGAGAGGCCTCTTGAAGCCCAAACCCGCTCAGCCTCAATCACAGTCTACATAACCTCAACGGCCTCCCGTTCGAACCGCAACAGATCTTTTCTTCCAACAACTACAAACCGAGATTCTCAATCACACAAGCACGCACGATGACGAACCCCCTCACACCGCAGTCGGTGCTGCAGTTGATGGCAGACGCCCTGCCAACGCACCCCCAAAATGACACAACCTCAGACTTGAGCAGCAGCTACGAGCTGCCCTCTCTTCTCGCCCACGCTTGCATGGCCGCTCTCAAGTTCCGTCTCCTCGGTTTTGACGAGGAGAAGAGGATAGGTATGCCTCCTGCCGCCGTCCCTGTCTGCTCAAAGCTAATCCCTGTCGCAGAGGAGGAGATTCAGTCCCTTGCGCCCCGACTCCCATCCTCATGGAACGCTGGCTTCGGCGCCATCCGCTTCGTGTACGCGCACAAGCAGTCCTCGATGACATCAATCATCCGCATCAGCCGCGTCGGCGGCAAGGTTGAGATCAGCGGCATGGCTCAGGGCCACGACGTCATACACAGATTCGAGATCACGACAAAGGACGTTGTGAACTCGTCGAAGCTTCCCCTGCGCATCACGCTGAACGAAGACGGGTCCGAGGATAGAAGCGACCTGGCGCAGAAGTTCAGAGATGCGTTCGTCTCTGAAGCAGCGATTGCCGACTTCATCGAGCAGTTCAAGACGAAGATTGTGCAGAAGCTCATCCCGAAGATGCAAGTGGAGGGGTATGAGGAGTCGCCCGACGACCGCGACGCAGCCGAGAATGTACAGCGCGAAGGCCGTGCGCAGTCTGGTCGGGAACCGGGAAGACCATTCCCTGGAGAGAGGCCGCAGCCAGGCCACCCGTTCCCCATTCACGATCCCCTGGCTGAGCCCCCTAGACGGCCCATCCCGGCGGGTGACTTCCCGCCGCCTGGGTTCGAAGATGAGCACGAGATCAACACGCCTCTGCGACCTTTGGGTGTTCCTGGTCGATCACCCTACAATATTGGGCACGATGACCTGAACCCGCCCGGTCTTGGGCCACATGACCCCCTAAGACCATCTTTCATCGGCGGAGGTCTCCCTCGTCCAGGAGGCGGTGGCGGCATGCACCCGACCTTCGATGATCCTCTGTTCGGAGGTCAGGGTGGCCGGGGGGCCGGCTTCGACC